ATATAACACTCAAAACCCATGCTTCACACCCATAAAACAATGTTGGTACTAATATATTCTGGTATGTTCCCCTTTTTGCCTCCATGAATGAAGTTCTTTGTCTCTGTAGATGCCTAAATGCATCAGTTGGCTATATATATTCTTATTTACCATTTTTTTATTTTAGAAATTTGGTTATTACTAGGAAAATGACCTGTAAATGCCTCTTTTGCTACCTTTCAAATATTCGCCGCTAATATTCAAATGAACTATCAACATATGCTTCACTCTGCACTATTCCAATCGCATGCATGAGACACAGGTGACTGGGGTATGGAATACAAGGATAAACCTCTCGGATCGCACAGCGACCCAATTATATCTAGTTAATATTATATAAGTTTATAAATAGTTTATAAGTTGGCCTTTTCCAGTGCTATAGAAGTATAGCGTTAGAGGCCACGTCCCCTGGCATGCTGCCTCAACACAACCTACCTCCCATTATTTAGGGAACTAATGGAGAATAAAAAGGGCACGATATCGTGACTGGAACAGTGCACAAATAACCTGTATTTACGACAATGAAACGTATATCTGTGTTTTGCTCTCAACTTGTAGTTCATGATTTTAGTTATTCCCTCCGGATGTGATTCCTACAAGATGGAGTAACTACTTCAAGATGTGTCATATACTGGGATCACTTCTCTGAACATTTCTGATTCTTGTTTGATACGTGATAGTGTTTGGTGTGTGTATGTATGTGTGTGTGTGTGTGTGTGTGTGTGTGTGTGTGTGTGTGTGTTACCATTTTGTCCTAGGCACATGTCGATTAGACATTAGGCCTGTTGTATATGAGTACGGGTATGTGTGTGTATGTGTGTTGTGTGTGTGTGTATTCACCTATTTGTACTCACCTATTTGTAGTTGCAGGGGTTGAGTCATAGCTCCTGATCCCCGCCTCTTCACTGATTGCTAGCTACTGGGTCCTCTCTTTCCCTGATGCATGAACTTCATCAAACCTCGTCTTGAAACTATGTATGGTTCCTGCCTCCACTACGTCACTTTCTAGGCTATTCCACTTTCTGACAACTCTGTGACTGAAGAAATACTTCCTAACGTCCCCTTGACTTATAAGAGTACTTCCAATTGTGACTCCTTGTTTCTGTGACCCATCTCTGGAACATTCTACCTTTGTCCACTTCGTCAATTCCTCGCAGTATTTTATATGTCGTTATCATGTCTTCCCTGACCCTTCTGTCCTCCAGTGTCGTCAGGCCGATTCCCCTTAACCTTTCTTCGTAGGATAATCCCCTTAGCTCTGGGACTAGTCTCGTTGCAACCCTTTGCACTTTCTCTAATTTCTTGACGTGCTTGACCAGGTGTGGATTCCGAACTGGTGGTGCATATTCCAATATGGGCCTGGCGTATATGGTGTACAGAGTCTTGAATGATTCCTTACTGAGGTATCGGAACGCTATTCTTAGGTTTGCCAGACGCCCATATGCTGCAGCAGTTATCTGATTGATGTGCACCTCAGATGTGCTCGGTATTATACTCACCCCAAGACCTTTTTCCTTTAGTGAGGTTTGCAGTCTTTGGCCACCTACACTATACTCTGTCTTCGGTCTTCTTTGCCCTTCCCCGATCTTCATGACTTTGTATTTGGCAGAGTTAAATTCAAGGAGCCAGCTGCTGGACCAGGCTTGTAGCCTGTCCAGGTCTCTTTGTAGTCCTGCCTGATCCTCGACCGATTTAATTCTCCTCATTAACTTCACATCATCTGCAAACAAGGACACTTCTGAGTCTATCCCTTCCGTTATGTCATTTACATACACCAAAAACAGCACAGGTCCTAGGACTGACCCCTGTGGAATCCTGCTCTTCACAGGCGCGCACTCTGACACCTCGTCACGTACCATGATTCGGTGTTGCTTCCCTGTCAGATATTCTCTGATCTATTGCAGTGCTTTTCCTGTTATGTGTGTGTGTGTGTGTGTGTGTGTATGTGTATGTGTGTGTGTATGTGTGTGTGTGTGTGTGTGTGTGTGTGTGTGTGTGTGTGTGTGTGTGTGTGTGTGTGTGGTGTGTGTACTCACCTATTTGTGATTGCAGTGGTCGAACCACAGCTCCTAGCCCTGCCTTTTCATGGTGTTTATGTATGTGTTAGTTGTAGTTTGTGGAAGTGCGTAGTAAGTTTTGGTGATGAATGATGATGGGTGGTGTGGTGTCGTATGTGGTTGATGATGGGTGGTGTGGTATCGTATGTGGTGAATGATGGGTGGTGTCCAGCAGTGATACTTAACTGTGATAAGATACCTTGTGTTACGTGTAGTGGTGTTTTGTCTTTTTTTTTTTGTGGTGTGTGGTGGAGTGTGGTGGTGGAGGTGTTTGGGCTGAGGGATGGGTTGTGTACCTACCTATATGTATTTGCAGGGGTCGAGTCTCTGCTCAGATCTCACTTCCTGTGGAGGTGTGTGAAGGTATGCTTGTGTATTTAGGTGTGTGGCGGTGTGGGTAGATGTCAGGTGGTATGTGGAGATGTATGTTGTGTGGTGACGTGTGAAAGTTTGCAGATGTATGGTGGTATGTAGTGGCGTGTACTGGTGTGTGGAGGCATGTGATGGTGTGTAGTGGCGTGTGGTGTCTGGGTATGAGTGGTGTCGTGTGGTTGGGTGTGGTGTCGTGGTGGTGGGTGGAGTGTCCTTTAAAAATGTGGAAGTGAGAGGTCGTGCTTGGAGGAGTATGCTGGTGGGTGGAGGTGTATGTTAGTGGGTGGAGGTGTATCTTAGTGGGTGGAGGTGTATCTTAGTGTGTGGTGGTGTGAGGTAGTGGGTGCCTCATCCCTGGTTTAGAAAAGTAGCGTGAAAAGAATTCGCATTAATCTTTACCCTAAATCCAGAGGTTGGTCGTGTACTGAGTATAACAGAATTTGCTGCACCAAGCGAGCTTCATCGAGACCAGCGAATTAAATACAGTTTTTTCTTTCAAAACTAACTTACCTTCGTGTTGCAGGGTGTACAGGTGTGAGAATGTCGCTTGATAATCCGGATTCTATCTCGCACGAAGCTTAGTGAAGAAAACACTTGTTGCTGATCAAGCTTTTATTGCAACAAAGTTTCTCGTGGTGTTGAGCTCTACACAGAGCCAAACGTTCTCCCAATAAAAGCTTTTCCCGTAACTAATTTTTTCTTCACTATTTTTAGGTTCTCCATTTGGATCTACACGAAATTTTACACAGTTTCTGTAAGGAACGTGTGAAATCTCCATTTCCACAATTTCTTGCAACTGGCTGTGTTCACAAACGATGTTAAATTATATTATAATGACGATGCTTGCAGTTGCTAAGTAAAAAAAAATATTTTTGATATTCAGAAACAAAATTAACAAACGCATGAAAAACAAAGGAAGCCTACTCTTTCAAAAAAAAAAAAATATTGCGAACTAGTTTTTAAAAAAGACCATCGGAGATATTATGTTCGCTGAAGAAAGTATGTTGTGGATTTCATGCTTGTGTGAGCTTCAATCACACTGGCATGATATCTCAAGCGAAGGTTCAGTGTGATCTAAGATATCACACTGAACCTTCGTGGTTGGAAAGAAAGAAGTAAGAGCACAACCAAATTTTTATTTAAATGCTGTTTTTGCCTAAATTGGTAAATGTGGTAATGCCTGTATATTTGATAAAACCAGTGAAGAGGATATCGCTATTGGTTTGTCGGCAGTTTTTGCCTGTAATGTTCAGTCTTTATGGTGGTATATTCAGTGGCATGGTAAATGGCGCTGCCCAGTACTGTATCCATGGTAGAACGTCGAACCGCAGGATGTCCTGAGCTGTCTAATAAAAAAATGTTCTCTAGGGCAATATCAAATGCTTTGTGGTTCTGGTGTCGATACATAAATAACATACCACGGTAAATTCTGCTTGAAATACCTGCAAAAATCTTACATAACTAGAATTCACCAAGTCTCTGATGTAAATCTTAATGATATATACCAAGACACTTTTATCTCTCGGTGTCTATACGCTGAGAATTTACGTATCACAATCCCTAATTTACAGATTAAAGTATTATTAGTCAATGATACTTGGTGGTTTTTGTTTTTTTGAAACCTTAATTAATCATCCATGTCTAGTCTATAGGCTTGAGACCCCCTCCAAAAAAATCCAGTGACAATGGTAATGTTTTAAGGTGTAGCTGTGTGGCTGATCCACATGTGACTCAATCAGTTAAACACCACTGGGTCTTGCCAGTGAACGGATGGAAGAATACAGCCTTGCTGTTAGTGGCTAGAGAGGAAACGTTGATAACTCACGGGCTTCCTGTTCCCGATACGGGTACGCCATACCAACGACTCATCGCACAAAATAGGGAGGCTAGAAGGAGTGACGTCAGGTGAACTTTCTTCTCCGTTCTTCTCAGATCATCTCACGTTAATTAAATTGGTCTACCTGTACAATGTATATTCTAACCAATCAATATTTGAGTGGAATGGGAATAAACTAAGTAGAACCCACAACAGAATTAATACCTACCCCCTCCCTTACCACCATCATTGTATATAATGGACTCGTATACATATAGACATATAAGGTAAATTTCCGTACCAAACAGCTGCACGATGCTGTACCGACCAAGGAGGTGTTATGAAGCAACTGTATCCTCTATTTGAGTTGGCAACACCTCCAGAGATTTCATAGTGACCGATAGCACGTCAAGCCTTTGACATCACTTTATCATTACTTCATTTTAACTCCCTCAAAAATCTTGACATAGTACGACCACGTTGCACTTTTACCAGAACATTAAAAGGAAAGAAGTTCTCTCAAAATGTTAATTTAGGAGCCACGTCCAATTAATCCTACAGAGAATATTACTGAATCAGGAACGAATACAAATGGGAAATCTGTCATGGGAGTGTTCTCATTCGCAATCTTGTGTATGGAGAACACGAAGGGAAGGTGCGTATACGTGTGTCCGTGTGTGCGTGCGTGTGTGTGTATATATATACACAGTGTGCGCGAGTCTCCCGCCTGGTACACAGCAGACGAACCGCGTGGGGAGTCATACTGCGCCCAGCGCACTGCGGCGAGCGAATCTCTCGTTGAACATCTCACTCTATACAGTTAATAGGAAACTATCGTTTATGCTTACTGAATATCTCAAGGGCAGTACTTGACGTTAAACACCTGGCATTCTGTATCTAGGCGTCAACATATTCATGCACAACACCTCAGGGAAAACGTTAAAACACACATTAAACGTTGAAAATTTTCAGCTGACTCATTGCATATTATCCTGCATCACAGCATATGGGCCACTGACCAAGTACTCGAGCTGGGTAGTTAGTTAACGAAGTTAACCTAACACTGTTCATTTTATATTGGTCGCATCGTGGAGACGGCACCACATGGAACTACATAAACACCCACTAGTAAATACCTAGTTGAACGACTCCCGCAGTGCAGATTGCCGATAAAAAATTTACATAACTTATTGTTTCAAACGGCATATTAATAAAATAACCAAGAACACACCAGACACACAACGACGCAGCCACATAAAGAACACCGAAGAACACTAGTCTTTGTGGATAAACAGGGCTGGGAAATATTACATTGGTCCACAAGCGCCCTCAACCTACTTTAAAAATTACGAGAGATATCCGCGATATCGAAGGACGCCCAAGAGGAGAGAGATTTCCAAAAAGGCGAGGATCCGCCCCCATCCCCCCGTCTCCCCGGACTCTCTAGGGACGAACAAGGCATCGAGAGGCTGCCAGAAGAGGAAGAAAAATTTTCTTTTCAAGAGTGTAGTGGTTTTGAGAGGAGAAAGTGTGATCGACCAAACTCAATTCCTCTCTTGCTCCTTCACTTTCTACACGAGCTCCTGCTTCTTCTAAACTCCAAAAAATGGTAAGACTTCAACAAGCTCCTTCTCCTTTTGTCTCGTGATGGGGCCTTTCTTTTGTGTTGAGGAAGCACTGTTCGTGTTACGTACAGTGAGGAAGTACAAGAAAAGAAGAAAAAGCTTTGTCTGTGTGTATATAAGGAGAGTTCAATGACATCAGATGAGGGGGAAGAATTTTGGTGTTAGGTGTTGAAGACATATTTAAATAGTTGGTGATGGTTGGTGATGATTTGTTGACCTGGTGATGTAACAGACAGCTTTGGTGCATTTAAGGGCTTGTTGACCTTACGCTGCAAGATGGGCAAAAAAAGTAGTACGTGAAGGCCTATTGACTTAACACTCCTAAAGACTGAGTGTGATTTAGAGTATGAGGATTTGTTGACTTCATGGGGTAAGAAACCGATAAAACATAAATAATTGGTGCAAGACGATTCGAAAGAAAAATCGGTCAACAATTTAGATAACCCTACATTTATTTTGTAAAACTGGATATATTATCAGAAATGACAATAAAATGATTTAACATTGCACTCTATTATATATTTATAGGCCTATTAATGATTGCTTTATCTGAAGCAATTTAATGCATACACTGTTTCAATTAATGTGATACCAATGGTCTACAAATTTGATTAATATATATACTCAAGTTTCTTAATTGTTTTTCTTATTTGCATGGATTTCAGAAAAAATAATAACAGAGAATTTGAGCTTGTGTATTTTAAAAATAATCATAACCAGGATTTTTTTATGTAAATAATTAGTTAACAAGGACAAAATTATTCTTTTTTGTTTACATTGATAAGAATGTTAAAATCAGTTTTGGAATATGCTAATTTAATTCTTTTATTGCCAAATATATTACTGAATAATGATCTCCGTAATAACGCTCTCACTATGTACTCAGTGATGAAATATTAGACAACTTATGACATGATGATATTACCTCGCATTTAGTAGCAGTTTCATATATATATATAATATATATATATATATATATATATATATATATATATATATATATATATATATATATATATATATATATATGAAATATATAGCCATAAAAAGACTAACTAAAAATATATAATTTACCACCGTGAATAACTAACTGAATATGAATAAATGCATGAGCACTGTCATGTGCTTACACACACACACACACACACACACACACACACACACACACACACACACACACACACACACACACACACACACAAAACCTTTAACTAATTGCTGATTACGCCAAGCGATTATAATATGCCCAGTATAGCCACATCGAGCCAAGAAACTGACTCCATCACACCGCCAATTTGGCAGTGAATCAGTCCTATATGAGTCAGGCAGTGTTCATGACGGATGACTGTCATGAGGCACATCATGGCACGACTTCACGGCATATTAATTATTATGATAAATTTCTCTCCTAAAGTTGGCTCTCGGGGTGATGTTTGTGTTCATGGGTTTAGTAAGAAGGTTGGTGGTCGTACATCGTCTGTCTAATGTTTCTTTACATGTTGCTATGAGGGTGGTGGTCGTATGTTGTCTGATGAGACTGAAACCGGCGTATATTCAGTCAAGAATATGTAGGTTCTACCTTATTATGTGAGCTCTCTTAATATACCTTTTCTACTTAAAATCAAAGTTGTATTTAAAAATCTTGATACAGTAAAAAAAAGCATTTGATTAAGAATTCTCCCCCCCCCCCCCGCAAAAAAAAAAAATGGTTGTTTATATAAGATTCCCTGTAAAAAACACAATAAAATTTATTACGGTCAGACTGGGTAAAGCCTTGAACTAAGATTACAACAGCGTAAATATATCATTAGAACCGGACAAAAACCTAATGCTCTGTTTACTCATGTGAGAGATTTTAACCACACATCTAATTTTTCCAAAGACCGAGAAAGTTGTATCAAGCAGGTTCATGGTTGAAAAAGTATAATTGAATCAAAATCCATAAAAAAATAGTACAGATTTCAATATGGATATTAGTTCAGGGCTATACAAATTAGATTCATTCTTAATTAACAGAATTTGCGAAGAATTTAAGCTATGAGTGACATGTCATAGAGTCGAGTGTGAGGTCATAAGTGAGGTGAGATCTCAGCCTTATTAGTCTTCTGTTTTTCTATTAATTTTAATATTCCTTGGTAATGTATGAAATCACGAAAATGCTTGAAATTTCACTACTTTTTCACTGTGGTAATTTTGTATATTTTGATATTGTATACTGAATCTGACAAGATAGTGATGGAGTGAATGATGATGAAAGTTTTTCTTTATATATATATATATATATATATATATATATATATATATATATATATATATATATATATATATATATATATATATATATATACATATATATATATATATATATATATATATATATATTATATATTATATATATATAATATATATATATATATATATATATTTTTTTATTATCACACCGGCCGATTCCCACCAAGGCAGGGTGGCCCGAAAAAGAAAAACTTTCACCATCATTTATATATATATATATATATATATATTTATATATATATATATATATATATATACATATATATATATATATATATATATATATATATATATATATATATATATATATATATATATATATATTATATATATATATATATATATATATATTATACAGTAAGAACACAGTAAACAGGTTATATCGTAATATGCAGAACAACCACTATGAAAAGAATATTGAACTTGGAAGCGCTTTCGTGATTTCTCACATTATTAGGGAACTATAGTTTCTTGATAATGTGAGAGCTATTTTTTGTTTTTTAAATTCAGAAGATTGATACAATTTTCCTTAAATAATCCCTGGGAGTTTTTAATATATTCTTCTCTTAATTGTTGTATCGCTCACTAACAACTATAAAGTAATATTGTGCATCTGTAACCTTTTTTTTGTAATTTTTATTCAAGATCATTTGTACTACAGCAAGCTCCATGTACACACACACACACACACACACACACACACACACACAGGAGGCAGGATCCATACATAGCTTTAAGCAGAGGTACGATAAAGCTCACGGCTCAGGGAGAGTGACCTAGTAGCGATCAGTGAAGAGGCGGGGCCAGGAGCTTGGACTCGACCCCCGCAACCTCAACTAGGTGAGTACAACTAGGTGAGTACACACACACACACATACACACACACATACACACTAACACACACAATGTAAAGAGTGGATGGTGTACACAAACTGAGATTCTACCTTAAAAGCTTGCACATTACGATAATTATCTCATAATCCTCTCTAATCACGTTCCAAGATGCTTGTATGTGCCGCTGTTAATTAACTAACAACATATATGTATATGATAAACTCCTATTCAATTATTGGTATACTTAATCTCAAAGCATCCGCCATTATCATCAAGCACTAATGGTAATATTTTAAGCCGTTGTACACCTGTCACAAAGTACATTTAAAAAATATATATTTACCTTATTTCTAATGACATAAATTATTTCCGCATAGGAAAATATTGTTTGAAGCATTTTTAACATATTTTACAAACAAAACAATATGATATCCCATCATTACTGCACTTCAAACACAGATGCATCGTTTGATCCTCTCCTGGACCACAAGCGCAATACATAAAGTACTTAGTATAGTTATTTTAATAGACCACATTTAATGATCATTAGACACATATTCATCCATCAAAAGGAACAGGAAAATAATGACCTGCGGCACTTAATTACGGATAGCTTAGTACTGTACATGGTAAGTTAACTCTCCATCTTCAGTGCTCTGTGTACTTCCCAAAAGATATTCATGGATTGATTCATTTTCTTACTTTCGCCGCTGCTCTCCACACACTGTGCTCTCCTTCACTTCTGCTTGTTCTGTCTCCCTCTGTTCTCTCCGCTTTCTACTCGCAGCCATGTCATTAATTAGCTCCAAATCTATCCAGGTCTGCCATTAGGGATGGGAAGGCGAGACAGGGAGAAGCTTTGTTTCCCCGGAGCCGGTATGGATGATATAGTTAGCATGCTAGATAATATGTCAGGTAATGGGAGCAACTGAATTGTCTGCCTCACTGCCGGAGGAAATTATATTAGGAAATGCAGGAGGCTGGAGTTGCTAATTAAGTACAGGTCAGTTAGAGATTGAATTAGCTGAAAGGGCGGGATCCCGGTCATACGTTGCGTACTTCCTAGGGAAGAGGAAGGCAGTGCATGGGTGTCTAGGGCAACCTGTGCAAGAGCTGTAGAGAACTTGCAGTACCATTTACTGACATATGGGGCAGTTTCTATGGCAAATGTGACATGTAAGCAAGGGATGGGGAGTACATCTTTCTGAGGCAAAAGCTATAATGTTATCCAGTTTAGTCAAGGGGATCGTTGCTTAATTATCATAATAAAATGGTATACAGTACCGACAAATAGATAACACACATACAATGCTGGGAATCATTGTTGAAGAAACGTTTCTCCTGCGCTGCAGGCTTCAGCAGTCAAATACAGAGATGAATCAAACTCCTGTAGACATCAGCGTTGGTCGAAGACGAACTAAACTAAATAGAAAAGTAGTTCAATGTAATCAGTCCATCACTCTAAATGTAAGATACATACGCACTTATTATTATCCTGTCAGGACAGGAACCCATCTCTCAGACCCACAGGAAGCCTGTTAATAGGGTGTGTCTGAAAATAAAGTATAGCATGTTCCTTGTAGCCTCTAATTATTTCATGTATAAATCCAAAACCATGAAAAAGGGAACATATAATGGAATATAAAAAGTGACTTTAAATAGAATATTTTATGTTACGAAGTGCAAAGGTACTTTCTGCAGAGGGACTAGCTTGTACCTTGTGGCTCCTGCTCAGGGACTAGCTTATAAAGTAAGAGGCCAGAGCTAACTTAGGGGCTAGCTTGTAAAACAGAAACTAGTAAATCAAGAGCAAACTCTTCTGAAAGACTACCGAAGTATGTCAGGAGCTCTAACACTCCTCCGGCACAGATTACAGAGTCTTTCAGGAGACTAAGGGTGATAATACCTCTACACCGAAGAGTCTCCAAGAGCAAAGTGAAAGTGGGAATAAACACACCTCCCACAAATGAATGAGACAGAACAAGTGAGCAAGTTAGCCGGTGATGCTGTAAGAGGTGAGACACCTCTAGTTCCTGAGTGACTTGAAGGTTAACCACTTAAACACACGTGACACGTCACTCACCCACGAGTAACGTGTCATTGCCGCAGAGGTGATGACGTGGACAAGGGCAACGCCACGAGTTGTTAGACAATTTCCTGTTCTTCCTCCTAATATTTATTTCTCTACTAAATTCTTAGTATTATAAAATATTACTAAATTAAATTCACATTCATTTCATCGACAGAATATGCAGTGTGTACAAATATACCTATTATTTACTAAGGTAAATAGACTATCAGTCTTCCAACAATTATGCCTCCACGAGTGTGATTCATCTCTGTATTCAACTGAAGAATTTGCAGAGCAAGCAAAAACCGTTTAGAATTCTAAATAGAATTCTAAATACAATTCTAGTATTGCACAAGAGTGTTGCTGAACTGCATAAAGCTTTAAAGTGACAGATGATAGATATACTGGTACATGTGACTAACAAAAGGAGCCGAAGGAAAAAGAATTACTAAGGTACTTTAAGAAAACGTTCTGAAAACATGATAGTTCATAAAATAGTTAATGACTGATGGACCGAACACATCGATTCCAGACTGAAACACTAATTGCCTCAAACTCCTCTTCATCTTTCACTTTTCTCTGTATCGGACTGAAGAAGCCGCTGACTGGCGAAACGTTTCCAGAAGATATCAAAATGTTTCATAAGTGTCTCATTTATCAACTTTTTTTCTGAACCACTTATTTTTCTATAAAGTAGTATGACATTAATGTCAGCTGTTGTCTGTATACATTGTACATGTTCTTGTAGTAATGAAGATGATTATTATTATTATTATTATTATTATTATTATTATTATTATTATTATTATTATTATTGTTATTATTATTACACAAATAACCCGAACATATGAGAATCTTTATGACGACGTTTTGATCCGACTCTGACGATTAATTAGTCACACTAATACACGAAGGAAAGGGAGCCAGTATATATATACAAGAGGATGGCAGGGACGGGAAAGAGAGTGGAAGAAGCAAGAACGACGTGGAGATAGTAGTGATAAAGGCAATGCAATATCTCTGCTACTACTATCTCCACATTCTTTTTGCTTCCTTCTCTCTTTGTTCCGTCCCTGCCATTTTCTTGTATATATTTATGCTGGCTTCCTTTCCTTCGTGTGTTAGTGTGACTAGTTAATTGTCTGAGTTAGTTCAAAACGTCTTTCTCCTGTGTGTCAGTCAGGGTATTTTAAATATTTCTTCAGTTTCCCCCCCCCCCACGCTTTCTTTATAATACAAATTAAGAAGTAACTTTTGAATACTCTTCCCAAAAACACTGTCTTGGAGCTCTAACAAGTAATCCTGTCATATTACCTGGAGCACATCACTATCTTGGAGCTCTAACAAGTAATCCTGTCATATTACCTGGAGCACATCACTATCTTGGAGCTCTA